ATTTTGTCCGTCTATTTTTCAAATTCCTTGGTTTAATTACCCAAGTTTAAGGTATGTATTCTATACTACTTGGGATAAATTTTGGAAATGTATTTCGAAAGAAATACTTAAAATTGATTGAAAAATTTAAAAAGTTTTTAAAAACTTTCATCCAAAATTTTGAAAATAAACTTTTTTATAAAAGTATTTTCTATTGAGTATAGAAGTAGAAAAGAAAAAGAGAATGTGAAATACAACACATTTTCTCTAATGATTGAAAAAAATTGATTAGATTTTAAATCCCATCAAAACTTTTTAAATATTATGGACATTTTGTCCGTCTATTTTTCAAATTCCTTGGTTTAATTACCCAAGTTTAAGGTATGTATTCTATACTACTTGGGATAAATTTTGGAAATGTATTTCGAAAGAAATACCTAAAATTGATTGAAAAATTTAAAAAGTTTTTAAAAACTTTCATCCAAAATTTTGAAAATAAACTTTTTTATAAAAGTATTTTCTATTGAGTATAGAAGTAGAAAAGAAAAAGAGAATGTGAAATACAACACATTTTCTCTAATGATTGAAAAAAATTGATTAGATTTTAAATCCCATCAAAACTTTTTAAATATTATGGACATTTTGTCCGTCTATTTTTCAAATTCCTTGGTTTAATTACCCAAGTTTAAGGTATGTATTCTATACTACTTGGGATAAATTTTGGAAATGTATTTCGAAAGAAATACCTAAAATTGATTGAAAAATTTAAAAAGTTTTTAAAAACTTTCATCCAAAATTTTGAAAATAAACTTTTTTATAAAAGTATTTTCTATTGAGTATAGAAGTAGAAAAGAAAAAGAGAATGTGAAATACAACACATTTTCTCTAATGATTGAAAAAAATTGATTAGATTTTAAATCCCATCAAAACTTTTTAAATATTATGGACATTTTGTCCGTCTATTTTTCAAATTCCTTGGTTTAATTACCCAAGTTTAAGGTATGTATTCTATACTACTTGGGATAAATTTTGGAAATGTATTTCGAAAGAAATACCTAAAATTGATTGAAAAATTTAAAAAGTTTTTAAAAACTTTCATCCAAAATTTTGAAAATAAACTTTTTTATAAAAGTATTTTCTATTGAGTATAGAAGTAGAAAAGAAAAAGAGAATGTGAAATACAACACATTTTCTCTAATGATTGAAAAAAATTGATTAGATTTTAAATCCCATCAAAACTTTTTAAATATTATGGACATTTTGTCCGTCTATTTTTCAAATTCCTTGGTTTAATTACCCAAGTTTAAGGTATGTATTCTATACTACTTGGGATAAATTTTGGAAATGTATTTCGAAAGAAATACCTAAAATTGATTGAAAAATTTAAAAAGTTTTTAAAAACTTTCATCCAAAATTTTGAAAATAAACTTTTTTATAAAAGTATTTTCTATTGAGTATAGAAGTAGAAAAGAAAAAGAGAATGTGAAATACAACACATTTTCTCTAATGATTGAAAAAAATTGATTAGATTTTAAATCCCATCAAAACTTTTTAAATATTATGGACATTTTGTCCGTCTATTTTTCAAATTCCTTGGTTTAATTACCCAAGTTTAAGGTATGTATTCTATACTACTTGGGATAAATTTTGGAAATGTATTTCGAAAGAAATACTTAAAATTGATTGAAAAATTTAAAAAGTTTTTAAAAACTTTCATCCAAAATTTTGAAAATAAACTTTTTTATAAAAGTATTTTCTATTGAGTATAGAAGTAGAAAAGAAAAAGAGAATGTGAAATACAACACATTTTCTCTAATGATTGAAAAAAATTGATTAGATTTTAAATCCCATCAAAACTTTTTAAATATTATGGACATTTTGTCCGTCTATTTTTCAAATTCCTTGGTTTAATTACCCAAGTTTAAGGTATGTATTCTATACTACTTGGGATAAATTTTGGAAATGTATTTCGAAAGAAATACTTAAAATTGATTGAAAAATTTAAAAAGTTTTTAAAAACTTTCATCCAAAATTTTGAAAATAAACTTTTTTATAAAAGTATTTTCTATTGAGTATAGAAGTAGAAAAGAAAAAGAGAATGTGAAATACAACACATTTTCTCTAATGATTGAAAAAAATTGATTAGATTTTAAATCCCATCAAAACTTTTTAAATATTATGGACATTTTGTCCGTCTATTTTTCAAATTCCTTGGTTTAATTACCCAAGTTTAAGGTATGTATTCTATACTACTTGGGATAAATTTTGGAAATGTATTTCGAAAGAAATACCTAAAATTGATTGAAAAATTTAAAAAGTTTTTAAAAACTTTCATCCAAAATTTTGAAAATAAACTTTTTTATAAAAGTATTTTCTATTGAGTATAGAAGTAGAAAAGAAAAAGAGAATGTGAAATACAACACATTTTCTCTAATGATTGAAAAAAATTGATTAGATTTTAAATCCCATCAAAACTTTTTAAATATTATGGACATTTTGTCCGTCTATTTTTCAAATTCCTTGGTTTAATTACCCAAGTTTAAGGTATGTATTCTATACTACTTGGGATAAATTTTGGAAATGTATTTCGAAAGAAATACTTAAAATTGATTGAAAAATTTAAAAAGTTTTTAAAAACTTTCATCCAAAATTTTGAAAATAAACTTTTTTATAAAAGTATTTTCTATTGAGTATAGAAGTAGAAAAGAAAAAGAGAATGTGAAATACAACACATTTTCTCTAATGATTGAAAAAAATTGATTAGATTTTAAATCCCATCAAAACTTTTTAAATATTATGGACATTTTGTCCGTCTATTTTTCAAATTCCTTGGTTTAATTACCCAAGTTTAAGGTATGTATTCTATACTACTTGGGATAAATTTTGGAAATGTATTTCGAAAGAAATACCTAAAATTGATTGAAAAATTTAAAAAGTTTTTAAAAACTTTCATCCAAAATTTTGAAAATAAACTTTTTTATAAAAGTATTTTCTATTGAGTATAGAAGTAGAAAAGAAAAAGAGAATGTGAAATACAACACATTTTCTCTAATGATTGAAAAAAATTGATTAGATTTTAAATCCCATCAAAACTTTTTAAATATTATGGACATTTTGTCCGTCTATTTTTCAAATTCCTTGGTTTAATTACCCAAGTTTAAGGTATGTATTCTATACTACTTGGGATAAATTTTGGAAATGTATTTCGAAAGAAATACCTAAAATTGATTGAAAAATTTAAAAAGTTTTTAAAAACTTTCATCCAAAATTTTGAAAATAAACTTTTTTATAAAAGTATTTTCTATTGAGTATAGAAGTAGAAAAGAAAAAGAGAATGTGAAATACAACACATTTTCTCTAATGATTGAAAAAAATTGATTAGATTTTAAATCCCATCAAAACTTTTTAAATATTATGGACATTTTGTCCGTCTATTTTTCAAATTCCTTGGTTTAATTACCCAAGTTTAAGGTATGTATTCTATACTACTTGGGATAAATTTTGGAAATGTATTTCGAAAGAAATACTTAAAATTGATTGAAAAATTTAAAAAGTTTTTAAAAACTTTCATCCAAAATTTTGAAAATAAACTTTTTTATAAAAGTATTTTCTATTGAGTATAGAAGTAGAAAAGAAAAAGAGAATGTGAAATACAACACATTTTCTCTAATGATTGAAAAAAATTGATTAGATTTTAAATCCCATCAAAACTTTTTAAATATTATGGACATTTTGTCCGTCTATTTTTCAAATTCCTTGGTTTAATTACCCAAGTTTAAGGTATGTATTCTATACTACTTGGGATAAATTTTGGAAATGTATTTCGAAAGAAATACTTAAAATTGATTGAAAAATTTAAAAAGTTTTTAAAAACTTTCATCCAAAATTTTGAAAATAAACTTTTTTATAAAAGTATTTTCTATTGAGTATAGAAGTAGAAAAGAAAAAGAGAATGTGAAATACAACACATTTTCTCTAATGATTGAAAAAAATTGATTAGATTTTAAATCCCATCAAAACTTTTTAAATATTATGGACATTTTGTCCGTCTATTTTTCAAATTCCTTGGTTTAATTACCCAAGTTTAAGGTATGTATTCTATACTACTTGGGATAAATTTTGGAAATGTATTTCGAAAGAAATACCTAAAATTGATTGAAAAATTTAAAAAGTTTTTAAAAACTTTCATCCAAAATTTTGAAAATAAACTTTTTTATAAAAGTATTTTCTATTGAGTATAGAAGTAGAAAAGAAAAAGAGAATGTGAAATACAACACATTTTCTCTAATGATTGAAAAAAATTGATTAGATTTTAAATCCCATCAAAACTTTTTAAATATTATGGACATTTTGTCCGTCTATTTTTCAAATTCCTTGGTTTAATTACCCAAGTTTAAGGTATGTATTCTATACTACTTGGGATAAATTTTGGAAATGTATTTCGAAAGAAATACTTAAAATTGATTGAAAAATTTAAAAAGTTTTTAAAAACTTTCATCCAAAATTTTGAAAATAAACTTTTTTATAAAAGTATTTTCTATTGATTATAGAAGTAGAAAAGAAAAAGAGAATGTGAAATACAACACATTTTCTCTAATGATTGAAAAAAATTGATTAGATTTTAAATCCCATCAAAACTTTTTAAATATTATGGACATTTTGTCCGTCTATTTTTCAAATTCTGTAAGGTATATCCGTTGATTGCCTAAGCAATGGTGATCTTTTGGGCGAGCATTATGCATTAATGGATTTTCCCAACCATTACACTTTAATTATTATTTATCGCTATTTCCTGTGTCACCTCCCATTCACATGCTTATGTTTATATATTGTTTATTGCTTCACCGATAAATCAGTTCCCAGTTAGTCAGTCTTTAATATGTGCCCCTAGGAAAGCACACCGGTGTGGCTTGGTAAAGGTGATAACTAGGGTCTGGCCAACCCAATGGTTATCCTTAGGGATTATAATGGTTTATATGTGCCTAGGTATATTTGGTAGAATGGACCCAGCATACTTCCACTCAATTGGTAGCACCGGATGCCGAAGTGATGCTTCGGCGATTCAAAGGCTCTTGGGCAGCAAAATGATGGAAACAGCAAGGAATATGGGCAAGAAGAAAATGAACAACAAAACAACATCGAAATGGATTGATGGAAAAATGCTCTTGGGCAGAATATGGATGTGGCACATGGAATGGAAATTTTGGCAAAAAAAGATGCACATGAATATGGCAATGCAAGTTTAAAAAAAAGGGGGGAAACTGGAACTCGCGCGCGCAAATAAAATGTTTAGGCAAATAAAAGAGAAAAGACCGACCATGCATGGCAGATAAAAAAAAAATTATTTTAGGGCAAAATTATGTAGAAAATAATAAATATAGCATAAGACCCCGGGGCAGCGGAAGTAAGGGGCAAATTAAAATAAAATATTAGTAATAATTTTAAGATGTAAGACCCGGGCATTCAATAAGGGCTTAGGCCATTTTAAGGATTATACATATATTAAAAATGCCCAGAACTATACAAATTGGTAAAAAAAGTGTTAAAAAAGTTTTATTAGAAGCCCATAAATTTAAATTTCAAGGTGAATTAAGCATTAAGAAAGTAATATATTTTCATCTTTTTTTAATTTAATTCTAATCTAGTATTTGAGAAGTTTTTTTTGCTTAGGCTACCATCAGGATTTTTTTTTCTCAATTTACGTCTTAATAGAATGCTCTTTATTTTTTTAAATAAAAGCCTAACAATGTAAGGAAATATCTTTCAAAAAAAATTAAAGATAAGATATTTTTAGTAACATTAATTTAGAAATGGGACCTATCTAAACTACTTCATAGGAATTCGTAATTGAATCTATTACATAGATAAATTTTCTTAATTTTATCCGTTTCAACCCATATCCTAAAACTTTAAATGAACAATAATTTCAATACATATTTACTCTATATTCGCCTTTATTTTTCTACATAGTTTTATAGATTTTATTCCTCTTCTTTTAAAATTTACAATTTATGCTAACGGGGGAAAATTAGATACTTTGATATTAGAAAATCTGATATTTCCTTTTGGGATAAAACGGAAAAAATGATATTTTGGGATAGAGTATATTTATTAGTAAATAAATGTCTAGTTAAAATTTATATTTTGGGAGTACATGTAGAACCAAATTCTTTCGGGAAATTCAAGGATTCAAACTATCTTTCTTTATCACGTCTGTTTTCGAAGTCTTAATCTAGCTATTTCCTAAAATCCAAAATTTTAGTCAAAATAGGTGATGTTGTGGCTTAAGTTGATAATTATTAAAATATAGTTTGTGAATATAAGACCCTGGAGCGTAAAAATAAACAAATTATATATAATGAATAGATAAAATTTAAATTTTTTTTTGGGGAGTACAACGTAAAACCAGGGTAACTTCCTTTGGGAAATAAAAGGATTTATAATTAATTTTTTTTTCTTCTCTATTTTTCTTCTATACTTAAAGTCTAAAATTCGGAGAGTATTGTTGGCCTTCGGGATTACAAAGGATACTTTTACAAAATAGGTGATCTTCTGGTATAATGAACATTTATTATTAATATAAATCTCTCTATTATTAAACTTTGTCCTTTATCCTCTTCTATATTTTTTTTTCAATTAAAAAAATTTTTTTTTCTCCCAAACATTCATCAGCATTTTAAAAATACATTAGACTTTCTGCCTTTATTGGAAGTGCATTAACAATATAGTGTGATAATATCTTGAAGTCCTTTTTTCCTTTCTCATTTTTCCTTCACTAATTTACAATAATTTTTCTCCCGCCGCAACTCCTCTATCTTCACAAACTTTATACTTTCGAATATTTTAAAGTACATTTTTTTAAACAAAATCTTTTTGTTTTATTTTTATTAAATTCTTATTAATGTTTTTATTAATAATGTTTTGAATATTTTAATTCTTAGTAATCAAATTAAAAATGTATTTCTATTATTTGGAACTCAAAAAAATCTAAAACTTAAAATTCTAAAATTTCTTAATTGCCTTGGCTATCATCAGTGTTCAAATTAAATATGGTTGATTTTTTTTGGCGTCGAATCTTCAAACAACTAAATCTACACATTTGCTTCGGCTACTATATTGGTTTAAATACTTCTAAAATTCGAATTTTCAAACAAAATTGGTGATGAATGCTAGACTGCAAAATTATTGGTGAATTTTGGATTTGAGTGTTTTAAATGTGGGTTGAAATATACGTAAAAAAAAATTATTATTTTTATTTCAAAAAATAATATGTATTTTTCCTAAACTCTAGTTCTCTTCTCTTCAAAATTTTTCTTTAAATTAATATTTTTCTCAAATTTTACAAAATTCTGAAGGTCTTATTACTATTCTGACATTTTTTGACATTTTTCTCTCATTTACAAAATCTGGTAAAACAACAATCAGCCAAAATCTCACAAAATTTCCTTTATAAACAAATAACAGAATTAGTAATCGACAAATAGAGTTGCATAACAATTAATTTTAGTTTTCCTAAAAGAGAAGGGTTACTTTGGTATATTTAAGTCTAGAAAGAAATTTTTCCTGGAAATTTGGGTTGATTATGACTAACTTGAGTAATACATTAAGCTGTTCGGAATTTTTTTATCTCTGATTCAGTGTGCTTTCAATCTGCTCTCTATATATGTATTCTAATGAATCTATTGATTGTCTTTTCAATATCAATTTACTCTAAAGAATATATTTGATTGTTTCTCCAACAGTTTAAATCCTCAAAATTTATTTTCTTTCATTTATTAATTTATTTAATTCTCATCACTTCTCCAATTTATAAAGAAAAAGAAGTGAAACATACTGTAAATTTTGTTTTTCTAAAAAAAAATCGAAAAATTTTAATTACTTAATTGGTTGTAGGAGTTTAGAAAAGGGAATTATTTATTCATATTTATAAAAAGGAGACAACAATTATTGGTCTAACTTTTTCTATGAGCTATAATCGGCTAAATCTATAATCGGTTAAATAAATAATTTTGAAATAATCGTTGTTCCCCTTCTCCTTTTGGCAGAAATTGTTACAAATCTGAATTTATACTTTTTATTTCTATTCCTTATTATTCTCTGTATTTATTTACTTTTAGCGCCGCGATTTTTATACCATGGTTTAGTATAAGTGTTTTATAGATATAATTTACCGACAGAATACAATTACAAAAAAAAAGAGTATTTTGACGTTTTACAATTTTAAAAACCGAAATTTTTTTGGTTGTGCAATTTTTTTTTGTTTTGATGTCTCTCACATTTATGAGTATTATCTCACCGAGGCGTAACCGTACAGAACGGAAGGGGCGGACTCCATAATGACTATATAACAGGGGTGTGCCGAAACGTATTTCAAAAAGCGAAATTAAATTTAAAAAGTGAAATGCAAAATGCGAAACTGGCACACCCCCTCTATAACTCTATAATGACTATAACGACTCTATAACGCCACAGTCTTTATTTTAGAAATCACTAATTGCTATTATATTAACTCATTAGAATTGTTTTTCATTCCCTATTTCAAAGTAGTTTTCAATTATTCACGGTTTCTGTACTCTCATTACTCCTGGATTTAATTAAGCTAAATTAATAATAGTATGAGAGCAAAGAAGAAAGACAAAAATAGAACATTCCAGTAAGCTCAATTAATAGCCAATAAATATTGTGTTATATTTGTGTTAAGTTATGAATTACTAATAGTAACTTTTCTATTCGAAAGTATCTCAATGAATATTAAAATCTATTTTAGAGAAAGAGTGGAAATACATTTAATTCTTGAAGTTCATTTTTTTTTGTCTCGATGATAATTATACATGTATTTTTGCTCAAATCTTTTATATTAGTGGTATTATCACTTTTGTTCGCCATTGTTCTTCTCTCATTTTTAAAAAATGCGATTGTTATTATTTCGCCTGTCTTAAAATAGTACGTCCTTTCTGCTTAAATTAATAGTAGATGAAAAGAGTAAATAGCTGCATCAATCCTATAAACTTTAAATTTAAAAGGATTGGGATTCAAATAACAGAAGGAAGATAACCAATGTCATACTCTATTCTTATTTTAAAACGAATATTTATCTAACTTGTCTAGGCAACTTCTCTGGGTTAATATTTTTTATTGAATGTTTAAATGAAAAAAAAAGTGAGACAAGTGATTTTGGCAAATCTTGTCTGCTAATGTTGTGACATTTTTCAGAAACACACCCAAATTAATTTCTTCAGTTAGATCCTCTTTCATTACTAGTCCATCTATTAATTTCGCGTAGGCTAAAACTCTCCATTAAAAAAAAATTGGGTGTGTTTCAATTTGGGTGTGTTTCAGAAACACACCCAAATTAATTTCTTCAGTTAGATCCTCTTTCATTACTAGTCCATCTATTAATTTCGCGTAGGCTAAAACTCTCCATTAAAAAAAGTGTTATATTTTATTAAATGTTTTGCTCAATCAATATATAATGTCCATATCCGTTTTCAAATGTTTCTTCCTTTTTAGACAATTACATAATTTAAGAAAATGGGTTTTCTTCGAGCCAAAATTTATTTAATGTATTTAATCTTTGTTAATTTGAATACTCAAAAAAATAAAAATAGAAAAAGCGGCAAGTGCAGACAATCTTAAGTTTCCCACTCCATACGAAGAAAACCATTAAAGCTCTGAAATCACATTGTATTTTTTTTCTTTAAGAGACTATCTTTAAGTGAGTAAGAGAGACTATCTTTAAGTGACTATCTTTAAGTGAGTAATTATTGTTTCAACCTTTCGCTGGAGGTGGTAACTAATAAAGGCGGGGTAATTATTTGAGGAAGGGACATTAATAGTTTTTACGGTAATTGAAATACTGCCTAATAACTTTTCATAAAATTTGTTAAGTAAATTATTTGTAATTTTTTTAAATTAACTTTATTCCTTATAAACTTAAAGTTCTCATAATCTAAATCCTTAGATATGTATAGATTTTTAAGTGATTTTATATTTAATTAAAAGATTCTTAATTCTAATCATGTTTCGAAAAATCAAATTGCTAACTAATTGTTTATTTTAAATATATTTTAACGCGTGGTCATTTTTATTGTCGCAAAAAGAATCAATTCTGTATCATTTTTTTAGCCATTTTAATGATTAGGGTCAGACAATAATCCTTTTTAACCTAAAGGTATTAGTTATTTATGCATACAACTAATATGGCTATTTAATAATATTCTATTTATATTTTTTTTTGGAATATTTCTAAGCTAATTTCTTTATTCATCTTTCTCTCTCATGATTAAAAGAAAAAAAAATAATTAAAGAAAAATTTAAATTAATGTTCTACATATAATTTTGTATTCTTA